CCCATTCACTACTTTATCCATCCATCCTCCATGGATTCACTCACCCACCCCCGAACTGCCATTCACCCTCACCTCCTGTGCACGTCTCTCCTCACTGCTTTTTCTCCTTTCTCCAGCCACCTACAGAATTACACATCCATCTCTTCATCTTCACCTTTTACCTGCCCTCCCTCCCATCCACTTTCCCCATCTGTCCACCTGCCTCCCCTCCTGTCCACCCCTGACTGTTCATCCACCTGTGTGCCGCTCTCCTGCCATCTGTTCACTCCCTCACCCATTCTTCACCCTCCATGTCCTTGAGCCTTCGTTCACTCATGCGTCTGTTCATCCAGCCACTCAGTGATTGTGGTGTTCACCTTTCTACTCACTGGTCTGTCCACCTGCTCACACACCCGTGCACCCATCTATCCCTTCACCTCTGTTCCTACCCTCCACCCTTTGCCCATCCATCCACTCATCCTCCATCTCCCCTCCCATTGCCTCTGTACTCACCGTACCCATTCAGCCATCTACCACTCATCTGTCTGTCCACTCCTCACCCTTCCTGTCTGTCTGTCCATGTACTCGCCGTGTCATCCCCTCTTTCACCCAGTCATCTGCTTAACCCCACCCCCAAGCCTGTCCATCTAGTCACCAAGCCCTTCCCCTACCCCCTCACCCTTCATCCACTGCTCTCCCCATCTGTCCACCCAACGTCCCCTCGTGCAGCCAGTGCCCAGCAGGTGCCCCTTACGTACCAGCCCTGTGCAGGGACAGAGGGGAGTTGGTAGCCGGCTTGGGATGTCACAGGCACGTTCAGTGTCTGCTGCATCGTCAGCCTTAGTAAATGGCTTTTGTACTCCACACGTAACTGCATTCTGAGCACGCCCACCCCCGTGCCACGTGCGCCTACAGGTTGGGACAAGTCGCCCAGGTGTTGAAACCTACCTCTGGCGTGGATGTCACTCAGCCATAACCGTGGTTTTGTAAAGGGTCAGAAGACACTTCTGCAGCTTCAGACACATGGGACCTGAGAGCTGAGTTTGGCACAGATCTCACCTAGTTTCCCCTGTGGCGTCTCAACTAGGGGATGTTGCGCATCCCCCAGCCGCGTGCCCACCCCTAGGACCCCCCCTTCCTCCCCAGGCTGCCTCTTTCATTTTCCCTCCATTCTGGCTGGTAGAACATTTTCCTGAAGAGCTGGAGCCGGGCTGTGTGTGGACGTCCGCACAGCCCCTGTCAGTCACCTCTCCTTTGGGTGTTGTGGGAAGTAGTTTCAGGCAGGGTGGGCTTGCTTGTTGTGCCAACAGGAGCACAGGTATCCTGGCTCAGTAAAGATACTGCCGTGACTGGGAGGTGGAGGCCGAGCGGTGTGCTAGGGTGGGCCTTAGGGCAGGAGAGCAACCCTGGGGCCGGCTCTGCCCCGTGTGTCCTTGGACCAGTCCTCTCCCCACTCCAGCCCTCAGTTCCCCTCCCTTCCATGAGGTGTGGGTGGGTGGTCCCTGAGCCCTGCCATCTCCTACCTGTTGGGCCCTATGTCACACAGGTCGTGGCCCCACCAGCCCCCTCTGGGGAGCCACAGAAGCTGCAGGAGCCACCGACCGCAGCACACCCACCACCAGGTGACCTGAGGGCTGAGGACTTGGGCGAGCCATCCATGGACGAGGCGGCCGTGAAGATCCAGGCGGCCTTTAAGGGCTACAAGGTCCGGAAGGAGATGAAGCAGCAGGAAGGGCCTGTGTTCAGCCGCACCTTTGGGGACACGGAGGCCCAGGTGGGAGACGTCCTGCGCCTGGAGTGTGTGGTGACCAGCAAGGCGGACGTGCAGGCCCACTGGCTGAGGGACGGCGTGGAGCTGGTGGATGGGCGGCACCACCACATCGACCAGCTCAGTGACGGCACCTGCTCTCTGCTGGTCACGGGCCTGGGCCGTGCGGATGCCGGCCGCTATACCTGTCAAGTGAGCAACAAGTTCGGTCATGCAGTCCACAGCGCCTGCGTGGTGGTCAGCAGGACGGAGAGCGAGACCGAGAGCTCGTCGGGGGGTGAGCTGGATGACGCCTTCCGCCGGGCCGCCCGGCGGCTGCACCGACTCTTCCGCACCAAGGGCCCAGCTGAGGTCTCAGATGAGGAGCTCTTCTTCAGTACGGAGGAGGGCAGCGTGGAGCCAGAGGAGCCCGGAGACTGGCAGACGTACCACGAGGATGAGCACTTTGTCTGCATCCGATTCGAGGCCCTTGCTGAGGCCCGTCAGGCTGCCTCCCGCTTCCAGGAGATGTTTGCCACCATGGGGATCGGGGTGGAGATCAACCTCGTGGAGCAAGGGCCCCGTGGGGTAGAGGTGCACATCGGCAAGGTGGCCCCCACGGCGGCTCCGGGGCCAGTGCCCAGCCTGCTGACCTCAGACACGGGTGAGTGCCGTCATCTGCGTGCCACCTTGGTGGGGGGTCTGGAGCTGGGGTCCAGAGGTGGGAGGGGGAGTAGCAGAATTACCCAGGAGTAACCTGGGCTTCAGCATCAGGCTGTTCGCAGAGGCAGCTCAGAGAGGAGGGAAAGGCCCGACTTTGGGGTTCCACAGACCTGAATTTAAATCTTAGCTCTGCCTGTGATTAGCTGTGTGCTTTTGGGCAAGTTGTTATCCTCCCTGAGCCTCATCTGTGAAGTCGGTATGTGAATAATCTTCTAGAGTTTTTTTGTTTTCTTTTTTAATGAGAGTTTGAGATGTAACAAATCTAAAAGGTAGGGTTCCACATGGTCCAGTCTGACGCCATTTCTCATTCAGAGAAAACATAGTCCAGCAGCTAAAAGTAAAGAGTCATTTCGTTATTTACTTGCATCTCCCTAGGAACATTGAAGGGGGCACAATTAATAACCCACAGCCTCAATTCTTGAAACTTCTTCTCATCCCTGAAGCCATTTTGGCTTCAAGTCCCTCACCTGCTTCCACTGGACTCTAAGCCCACACAGACTTTGCCCTTCCTTCACGTATCCTTTCTTCTCCACTGCTGGCCTTCTAGCTCATTTCTATCACAGTAGCTTGGGAACCAAGCTGGCAAAGACAGCATGCTCCGTAAAGAATGAGGAAGAGAGAGACACTTCGACAAACACTAAATTCTCTTTAGCTGTCAGGGTCTGAGAACACGCTCGCACGAACAGTTAGTGTATATGCATGTCTAGCCACCCAAATGGTGGTGCCACGTATGTATGTGGCGGCTGATTCGGGATTTGGTGCCGAGAAGGGTCCCACGAGTAACTCCTGCAACCCTGCCCTGCCCCAGCCCCGGTGTTCCTGACTGAGCTCCAGAACCAAGAGGTGCAGGATGGTTATCCCGTGAGCTTCGACTGCGTGGTGACGGGCCAGCCGGTGCCCAGCGTGCACTGGTTCAAGGACGGGAAGGTGCTGGAAGAGGATGACCACTACATGATCAATGACGACCAGCAGGGCGGCCACCAGCTCATCATCATGGCCGTGGTGCCAGCAGACACGGGTGTCTACCGCTGCCTGGCTGAGAACAGCCTGGGCGTCTCCTCCACCAAAGCTGAGCTCCGCGTGGACCGTGAGTGTTGGTCTTCAGGTTGGGTGGCTCCAGGATGGTCAGTGTGGGGATTGGGTGGTCTCCTGAGCTGGTCTGGGAAGGACAGTGCTAGGGTTGGGAGGCTATTGTATTATAGTTATGTGAGGTTGTAACATTGCAGGAAACTGTGAAGAGTATGTGGGATCTCTGTATTATTTCTTACAACGGCGTGCGAGTGTACAATTATCTCAAAATAAGAAGGAAAAAAAGCTTAAAAAACAGAAGTCAGTGTCTTAAATAAGAAAAAGATCTTACATATTTACTCATTAGGTCCCATTTTCAGTGCTCTTCATTCATTTGTGTGGCTCTAGCTTCTCATCTGGTATTATCTTCTTTCTGCCTGAAAGAGTCCTTTAACATTTCTCGTAGCGCAGATATGCAGGTGATGAATTCTTTCAGCTTTTGTGTGTCTGAAAACGTCTCTATTTTGTTTTTGGTTTTGCAAGATATTTTTGCTGGGACAATTTTTTTATTTCTACAGTTGGAAGGTGTTTCTCCATCATCTCTAGCTCGTATTGTTACCAATCAAAAATATGACATCATCCTTGTTTTTGTTCTTCTGTACGTGCAAAAAAAAAACCCAAACCCGTTGCCATCGAGTTGATCCTGACTCACAGCGACCCTACAGGACAGAGTAGAACTGCCCCATAGGGTTTCCAGAGAGCACCTGGTGGATTCCAACTGCTGACCTTTTGGTTGGCAGCTGTAGCTCTTAACCACTGCACCACCAGGGTTTCCTTCTCCGTACACAGCCTGTCTTGTTCTATATTTTTAAAAATTGAGATATAATTCTCATACCGTAAAATTCAGCATTCAAACAATGTACAATGCGGTGGTTTTTAGTATATTCACAAGGTTGTGCAATGATTACTGCTATCTAATTCCAGAACACTTTTATAGCTCCCTAAGGAAACTCCGTACCCATTCGCAGTCATTCCCCATTCCCTTCACCCTCCTTTCCCCTGGAAGCTACAAATCTGCTTTCTGACTTCATAGATTGGCCTTTTTTGGATATTTCATATAAGTGGAATCATACAATATGTGGTCTTTTGTGTCTGGCTTCTTACACAGTTTGCAGGTTCCATCCGTGTTGTATCATATTACCAGTAATATAATGATTATGACCGAATAATATTCTATTATATGGTTATGTCACATTTTGTTTATCGATTTATCAGATGTTGGACATTTGGGTTGTTTTGGCTGTTATGAATAATGCCGTTATGAACATTGTATACAAGTTTTTGTGTGAACTTCTGTTTTTAGTTGTCTTGGGTACATATTTAGGATTGAAATTGCTGTGTCATATGATAACTCTGTTTGACTTTTTAAGGAACCACCAAACTGTCTTCCACAATGACTGTACCATTTTACATTCCCACCAGCAATGTATGAGGGTTCCAGCTTCTCCACATCCATGCCAACACTTATTATCGGCCATCTCTTTTATATAGTCATTCCCCTTGTGGTTTTGATTTGCATTTCATTGTCGATGTTAGTTGCTGTTGAATCGATTCCAACTCATGGTGACCCCACGTGTTACAGAGTAGAACGGCTCCATAGGATTTTCTTGGCTGTAATCTAACGGAAGCAGATAGCCACACCTATCTTCCACAGTACTGCTGGGTGGATTTGAACCACCAACCTTTAGGTTAGCAGTCTGGTGCAAACCATTTGCATTGAGAATCTTTCCATGTGCTTGTCGGCCGTTTGTATGCCATCCTTGAAGAAATGTCTACTCGAATTCTTTGCCCATTTAAAAAATTAGGTGATTTTCTAAAAAAATTCATTTATTTTGTTGTTGATAATATATATAGCAAAACATACACCAGTTCAACAGTTTCTACATGTACCACTTAGTGACATTGATTATGTTCTTCGATTTGTACAACCATTCTCACCCTCCTTTTCTGAGTTTTTTCTCCCCCATTAACATAAATTCACTGCCCCCTGAGATTCCTATCTAATCTTTCAAGTTGCTATTGCCACTTTGATCCCATATAAATAGTTCTTAAAACAGCATAATGCTCAAGGCGGACATTTTTTGCTAGTTAAGCTAAACTATTGTTTGGTTTTAAGAAGACTTCGGGGGATATTTTTGGTTTAGGCTTAAAGATTATCTCAAGGCAATAGTTTGAGGGCTTCATCTAGCCCCCATGGCTCCAGAAAGTCTGGAGTCCATGAGAATTTGACATTCTGTTCTGCATTTTACCCTTTTTGATCAGGATTCTTCTATGGAATTTTTGGACAAAATGTTCAGTAAGGGTAGCTGGGCACCATCTAGTTCTTCTGGTCTTATGGCAGAGGAGGCAGTTGTTCACGGAGGTGATTAGCCACACATTCCGTATCCTCCTTCTATTCCTGTCTCTACTTTTTCCTCTGTTGCTCCAGGTGAATAGAGACCAATTGTTGTGCCTTGGGTGGCCACTTGGAAGCTTTCAAGACCCCAGGCACCACGCATCGAACTAGGAGGTAGAACGGAAGCACTGAACATGTTATGAGGCCAGTTAACTGGGGTGTCCTATAAAACCATGATCCTAAGCCTCCAAACCAAGAAACCCAATCCCATGAGGTTTTTGTTGTACATAAGCAGCCTCAGCTTCCTTTTTGTCCTTGTTGTAGATGTATCTGTCATACAACTTTTGCCAGTTCGACTTTTACAGGTGTACAATTTATTGAAAACAATTACAATAATCAGCTGTGTAACCCTACCTTTAATCAATGTGATGTTTCCATCATGATTACCCCCTCCTCCCACCCCGATAACCACTAACAAACTTTGTTCTCTATACGTTTTTCTTTTCTTGTCTTTTTATGTAAGTGAGGTCATACAGTATTTGTCCTTTTGTGATTGACTTATTTTACTCAGCATAATGTCTTCCAACTCCATTCATAGTGTGCCATGTATCAAGGCTTCATTTCTCCTACTGGCTGAGTAGTATTCCATTGTATGTATGTACCACATTTTCTTTATTCATTCATCTGTTAACTGGCACTTGGGTTGTTTTCACCTGTTGACTATTGTGAATAGTGCTGCAATGAACATTGGTGTACAAGTCTCTGTTTGAGTCTCTGCTTTCAAGTCTGTTGGGTATATACCTAGGAGTGGAATTGCTGGATCATATGGTAGTTTTATTTTTTGAGGAACTGCCACACTGTTTTCCACAGTGGATTTTGCATTCCCACCAGCGATAGAGAAGGGTTCCAATTTCCCTACGTCCTCGCCAACATTTGTTATTATTGTCTTAGCCATTCTAGTGGGAGTGAAATGGTATCTCATTGTGCTTTTGATTTGTATCTCTCTGGTGGCTGATGACACTGAGCATCTTTTCATGTGTTTGGTGGCCATTTGAATGTCCTCTTTGGTGAAATGTCTATTCAAGTCCTTTGCCTATTTTATGATTGAGTTATTTGTGTTTTTAAGTTGTTGAAGTTTTATACGTATTTTGGTTATTAGATTCTTGTCGGATACATGGTTTCCAAAGATAGTCTCCCAGTCAATAGCTTGTCTTTTTGCTTTTTGGGTGAAGTCTTTTGATGAACAAAAGTTTCTTTATTTATTTCGTCTTTTACCATTTGTGCTTTTGTTATTATATTAGATACTCCATTGTTGGAAAGAGCTCAGGCTACTAACCAAAAGGGCGGCAGTTCAAATCCACCAGCTGCTCCTTGGAAACCCTATGGGGCAGTTCTACTCTGTCCTATAGGGTAGCTAGGAGTTGGAATCGACTCTACAGCACACAACAACAATCCATTGTTAAAAGCTGGGCCTGACAGTGTTGCCCCTGCTTTTTCTGCTAAGAATTTTATGGTTTTAGTTTTTGCACAGTTAGCTTCTTAGTCCATTTTTTAAATTGTTTTGCGTGTGGTATGAGGTGTTGTTTTGTTTTTGAGTTGTAAGAATTCTTTATATATTCTGAATAGGCCCTTATCAGATACATGATTTCCAAATATTTTCTCCCTTTCGTGAGTTGTCTTTTTACTTTCTGGAGAGTGTCTTTTGATGCACAAAAGTTTTTAATTTTAATGGAGTCCAAGTTATCTACTTTTTCTTGGTTGGTTGTGCTTTAGTTGTCCTAAGAAACCGCTGCCTAATCCAAGGTCATGAAGATTTACACCTAAGCTAGAGCCCTGGTGGCTCAGTGGTTAAGAGCTCAGCTGCTAACCAAAAGGTTGACAGTTTGAATCCACCAGCCACGCCTTGGAAACCCAAGGGGGCAGTTCTGCTCTGTCCTGTAGGGTCGCTATGAGTCGGAATCAGCTCAACGGCAATGGGTTTTGGGTTTTTCTCTTCTAAGAATTTTAGAGTTTCAGCTCTTAACATTTAGGACTTTGATCCATCTTGAGTTAATTTTTGTATACAGAGTAGAACTCCAAAGACTGTTTTTTCCCACTGAATTGTCTTGATACCCTTGTCAGAAATCCATTGCCCTGAAGTGGTGAGGGTTTATTTCTGGACTCTCACTTCTTTTCCGCTGATCTGTGTGTTTATCCTAATGCCAGTACCACACTGTCTTAATTGCTGTAGCTTTGTAGTAACTTTTGATATCAGCGAGTGTGAGTATGACAACTTTATTCTTCTTTTTCAAAGTTGTTTTGGCTATTCTGGGTCTCTTGAATTTTCATATGAATTTTAGGACCAGCTTGTCAGTTTCTGCAAAAAAGGTCTCTGGACGTTTTTAAGATGTTTTTTTTTTTTACCACTGGTTTTGAGTAATATCATTATGATGTGTCTCTTTGTACTTTTCTTCATGCTCCTTGTACTTGAAGTTCACTGAGCTTCTTGGAACTTTGGGTTTATAATTTTCATTAAATTTGGAAAATTTGGGGCCGTAACTTAAAAAAATATTCTTTCTGCCCCCTTCCTCATTTGTATAGTAAGCCACTTGAAGTTGTCCCACAGTTCATTAATGTTCTTTTCACTTTCTAAAATTCTTTGTTCTCTCTGTGTTTAATTTTGAGAAGTCTGTATTGCTATGCCTTTACGTTCACTATTCTTTTCTTTTGCAATGTCTGATCGGCTGTTGGAGCCGCATTTGCACAGTGGTTAAGAGCTCTGCTGATAACCAGAGGGTTGGCAGCTCGAATCCACCAGCCGCTCCTTGGAAACCCTATTGGGGCAGTTCTGCTCTGTCCTATAGGGTCACTATGAGTTGGAATTGACTTGATGGCAGTGGGTTTTCAACGGGTTAATCTGCTGTTAATCCCATCTGTCATAGTTATCTAGTGCAGCTGTAACAGAAATCCCACAAGGACATGGCTTTAATGGACAGAAATTTATTTTCTCATAGTTTAGGTGGCTGGAAGTCCCAATTCAGGGCACCAGCTGTAGAGGAAGGCTATGTCTCTTTCGTGGCTCTGGGGGAAGGTCCTTGTCTCTTTTCAGCTTCTGTCCCTCAGTTCTTTGGTGATTTTCATCTGGCGTGGCATCTGTCTTCTCCCTTCTGTGCTTTCTTGCTTTCGTGCCTGATCGTCTCTGTTTATATCTCAAACGTGATTGGTTTAAGACACCCTACACTGATGGGCTAATTAACGTAACAGGAAGAAAACCGTGTTCGCAGATGGGATTACATCCACAGGTGTGGAGGTTAGGATTTACAACACGTATGTTCTGGGGACATGATTCAGTCCCTAACAGCATCCGTTGTATTTTTCACCTCTAGAAGTTCTACTTGAGTCTTTTTAATGTATATTCCATGTCTCTAAATTTTTTGAACATCTGGAATACAGTTCTAAAAACTATTGTAATGTCTTTTTCTGCCGATTCTAGCACCTGTGTGGTTCTGTGTTGGTTTTGATGGGTTAATTTTTATCCACAGCGTTGGTTGTGTTTTCGTCCTCTTTGGATGCCTTGGATGCCTGATGTTGTGAATTTTACCCTGTTTCGGGCTGGATGTTTTGCATTTGTATAAATCTTCTTGAACTTTTTTCTGGGATGTGGTTAAGTTACTTGGAAACAGCTTGATCCTTTCAAGTCTCACCTTTATAATTTACTAGGTGGCTCTGGAACAATGCTCAGTCTAGGGCTAATTATTCCCCCTCCTGAGGCTGAATACTGTACAAATACCCTATGAATTAGGAGTTTTTCCAGTCTTGTTGGTGGAAATAGGCAATCTGCCCGGTTGCGTGAGCTTCGGGCCATGATTCATCTAATCCTTTCGACGGTTCTTCCTCACGTACGTGGGCCGGTCATCACTCCACTGAACACTCGGGGTTTCTGTCTCTGGGCAGCTTTTCCTTCTCTGTCTATGAATTCTAGCTGCCCTTGTCTCCTGGGCTCTCAGTCCCGTTTCCTCAACTCAAGGAGTCTGTGGGCTCTGCCCCCGTTCTCCTCCTCCTTGGGCCTAGAAACCCAAGGCAAACTGGGGCCATCACAGGGCTCCCCTTGTTTGTTTCCTATCTCTACGGGAGCATTCTCCTTCATTTGCCTAATGTCCGGTATCTTGAAATCCATTGTTTTATGGGTTTTTTTTTTGGGGGGGGGTTGGTTGGTTTTGGGTTTTTCTGTTTAGTGTTTTGAGGAATTGCCACACTGCTTTTCACAATGGATGTTCCATTTTGCATTCCCATCAGCCGTGGATAAGGGTTCTGGTGGATAAGGTGGGAGGGTAAGCCTAGTCTCTGTTACTCCATCTTGGCTGGAAACAGAAGTCTCCAGCTATTGGTTTTGAGGCATATATTACGTCATACACACGTTTCCTTGTAGGACGGATTGAAAGGTGCTTCCAGTATCAGTGTCTGCTGCTAATGAAGGCTTGGAATCATGCAGTCTGTACAGTTTGTTGGGTCAAAGAATCTTACATTTAGTTAGCCAAAAACCAAACCAATTGCCATCGAGTCGATTCCCACTCATGGCGACCCCGTATGTCATGCCCGGAAACTCAGCTGGGGCTGGTACCAGCCTGAAGAAATGGCTGCAATGTAGCAGCTGTTTCCTCATGACTGCTTGACTAAAACCAAAAACCAAACCCAATGCTGTCGACTCAATTTCGACTCATAGCAACCCTACAGGACAGAGTAGAACTGCCCCATAGGGTTTCCAAGGAGCAGCTGGTGGATTTGAGCTGCTCACCTTTTGGTTAGGAGCCATAGCTCACTGTAGCTCTTAACCACTGCCCCACTTCTTGACTAGACAGGGTAAATTCTGGGGCTCTCAGGGAAGGCTGCATAGTCAGAACCTGTGATTGCTGAGGTGGCCTCCGGTGCAAAGGCCTTGTTCCAGCTCCACCCTTCCTTTCCCAGTGACAAGCACGGACTATGAAACTGCGGCTGATGCCACAGAGACCTCATCCTACTTCAGTGCTCAAGGCTACGTGTCCAGGTAGGGGGTTAAGCAGAGGGGGGGCAGTGCCCAGGGGACTGACTGCCCCCAGGGACGTGGTGGTACTTAGACTGAGAGAATCCAGAGCCTTCTACCAGGCAGTCTTCTGTCCCCTTGTCCGTCTGCTCAGCGCCCTGTCCGGCCCTGGAGCCCCTAGCTGTTCCGCTTCATGGCTGCACTTTTTCTCTTCTGGCAGCCGGGAACAAGAGGGCACGGAGTCGACTGCAGAGGAGGGGCAGCTGCCCCAGGTGGTGGAGGAGCTGAGAGACCTTCAGGTGGCCCCAGGCACACGCCTGGCCAAATTCCACCTCAAGGTGAAAGGTGAGGGGAGAGGGAGTGAGGGGCACCACGGAGGGGTGGAGGGCCTCCATCAGAGCAGCCCCCGTTCAGCCACAGTGGGGAGACAATCCCACCAGGGAGAGTCTGGCTGGCCCCAAAGCACTGCTTCCTCTCTGGGTGCTGTTCTGCACACACACCCCCAACAGGCCGGCACCTATCACGAGTGACATGGGGTCTCTGAGGGATCCCATCATGGTGACTTATCTTCCTCCACCATCTGGAGAACATAGTGCTCCAACCCGCCCCACCTGCACCTGGAGAGAGGCAGGGCCCCCTGCCCACTGGGCAGGTGGGCCTGTGCTACCATGCGCTCCCTGTGGCTCCAGGCTACCCAACACCTCACCTGTACTGGTTCAAGGACGGGCAGCCCCTGTCCACATCCGCCCGCATCCGCATGACCGACAAGAAGACAGTACACACCCTGGAGATCCTCTCGGTCACCAGGGAGGACGCCGGCCAGTACTCAGCCTACATCAGCAATGCCGTTGGGGCAGCCTACTCGTCTGCCCGGCTCCTGGTGCGAGGTGGGTGTCAGAGGGACAGGGCAGAGAGCAGTGCGGGCCCCGGACAGTGTCCAAGCCAGTGGACATCTGCTGCACACCCTGCCAAAGCCGACCTGGGGACCATGACCCCATAGTCACTCATCCTGCATGCCCCGGTGTCACAGACGGCCTGAAGGGACTGCGGGGGCGGGGGTCCAGGGCACGCTCACGGTTGGGGCCCTCATCCTGACTGTTCGGCAAGCCAGCCATGAAGTCAGCTCAGGGCAGGCTTCTCGGCTACGGTGGAACCATAAGGAAGGATCTGGTGGTAACTTGGGTGATCAAGGTCCACACTTCGTGAACACTGAACGTTAAATCCAAGTTTGTGGCAGACTCACTTGTGCCAAAACCGGGCCTCGCCTGGCACATCGGATGCCCTTCACGGCCTTCGTTTACACTGCTTGATGCCACCCCAATATTGGGTGCAGGAGCAGCATGTGCTGGTCACAGGGTGCGGCCTACCTCTGCTGGTGGGTAAGGAGGGCGCAGGTAAAACCTGCGTGGGTGTGGATTCCAGGACCCACCTGGTGCGGTCTCTGGTAAGGGATTATAGACTTACACCATCATGGGTGGGGCTTCCCTTGAGATCCCACCCACCATGGGCAGACGGAGACCTCTGCTGTCCTCTCACATGGCCCTGGGTGCAGGATGGAGGGTCGGGAGATGCATTCCTGCTGGGGGCCTAACTTCGGCTCTCTTCCAGGCCTGGATGAACCAGAAGAGAAGCCAGTGTCGGGTAAGACAGCCCCAGATGGGTCAGTGGTGTACCCCAGGCGCTGGGGCAGGCAGGGTGGGGCTGTGCCAGACTGGAGTGGACACTGACCGTCCTAGGCCTGGGGCTGGCCGCTGTGTGCACAGGGGCCAGGAGGGGCCAGATCGTCGGGCACCCCGGGGACTTGATTAGCTAGGAGGGGAGTGGAGGAATCTCCCAGGGCCAGCTGGGAGGAAGGAGAGCTGGGCATGGGCTGCAGAGGCCAGGTGGCTTCCCCGAGGTGGTGCAGGGGCCCTGGGATCCAGGGGTCATGCTGGGCAGGTGTGATGGGACTTGGAGCCACACACGGCCGGGAAGCAGGGCTCCTGGACAAGTGCCACTACCTGCCCCGATTTCCCATCCAGATGTGCAGGAGCAGCTGGTGCCACCCCGAATACTGGAGAGGTTCACCCCCAAAAAGGTGAAGAAGGGCTCCAGCATCACCTTCTCAGTGAAGGTGGAAGGTAGGGCCCCCAATAACAACCTCTCCCTGCCCCGCTGCACAGCCTCACCCCCCTGAGAGGGGCCAAGGTAGCCCCCGCCCCAGAGGCCCTGCTTCCCAGTGTCGATGTACCCACCTCCTGTCTGCACACCCCACAGGCTGCCCAGCCCCAGCCGTGCACTGGCTGCGGGAAGAGGCCGCTCAGGGCGTGCTGTGGATCGGGCCCGACACGCCGGGCTGCACGGTGGCCAGCTCTGGGCAGCAGCACAGCCTGGTCCTGCTAGATGTGGGCCAGCAGCACCAGGGCACCTACACCTGCATTGCCACCAACGCCGCGGGCCAGGCGCTCTGCTCTGCCAGCCTGCACGTCTCTGGCCGTGAGTGGGGCTGGGCCGGGGCCGGGGTTGCAGGTAGGAGCGGGGGTCGCGGGTGGCCCCAGGCCCCCACCCAGAGCCCTCGCCCCTTTTCCTCTCTCCCTCCCCGGGGCTTTCCGAGGCGGGCTGGCCTAGGAGCAGGGGAGGCCCCAGAACAGGTCAGAGCCCCCCTGCCTGGGGTGCGGTGCCCACCTGAGGGCCCCACATAGGCCCCTCCTGGGCACTCCTGTCACCCCGGAAGTCCCACTCCCAAGCGCCCCTGCGCCCGTCCGTGGGCTGGTGAGGTAGGGCAGGTACCTGCTCTTTGCCACCGTCTGCATGGCTGCAATGCCGGGGCACAGCCTGAGGCAGGCCGGCCCCCTCCTCAGGACTCTGGAGGACCCCTGGGTGACCCAGAACCCCCGGCAGGAGTCCAGGCTCAGAGTCTGAGCTCGGCGGGGCCCAGGACCTGGGGCGGGGCTGTCCTGATGGCTCACTGGTTCCGTTCTCCCGACAGTGCCCAAGGAATCCGGGGCGGTGGAGCAGCAGGGGGGTGCGAAGGAGGCACTCATCTCCACCTTCCTGCAGGGGTGAGTCGAGCCTGTGTGGCCAGGCAGGGACCAGGGCCAGGGAGGCAGACACCCTGCAGGTGGGAGTGGCGCTGCTGTACTGGGAACCCCCCCCTTTATAGACCGTGTGGTTGGGCCAGCCTCGTCCCTCTCTGTGCCTCAGTTTCCCCATCATAGAACGAGGCTTCCCCCAAGGCCCTTGCAGTGTGCAAGCCGCCTGGCTGGGCTTTGCTGGGCCCTTGCCCTCAGACCCTCTTTCTGTCAGAGCTCCTGCCTGTGGGCAGAGGTCAGGGCCATCCCAAGCCACTGGTGACACCACTGGCCCACCCCCCCTTTAGGACAGAAGCCGTCTCCACCCAGCTGTCGGAGTCCGTGGGATTCAGCGACCTGGCAGGGCAGAGGAAAGGTAGGGGCTGGGGGTGCATGTCTGGGAGAGTCGGCCTGCCTCAGAGGAGGCCGCCCACTGGCCGGCCGAGTCCCTGCCCTGGTCTGGCCTGACCCTGCTCGTGGGTGCTGAGTCTGACCTCTGGCTGGTGGCTGCAGCCCTGCTCTGCCCGGGCCTGGCCCCTTATGGGTGCGGAGTCTGAGCTCTGGCTGGTGGCTGCAGCCCTGCTCTGCCCGGGCCTGGCCCCTTATGGGTGCGGAGTCTGAGCTCTGGCTGGTGGCCGCAGCCCTGCTCTGCCCTGGCCTGGCCCCGCTCGTGGGTGCTGAGTCTGAGCTCTGGCTGGTGGCTGAGGCCCTGCCGGGCCTGGCCGTGGATCTGGGAGCTGTGGAGACAGCTCCGGGCTGGCTGACCGTGGCCCACAGCTCATATCTAGCAGATGATTGCTTTGTGAACGTGGGGGTGTATCTGGCCCTGCTGCGGGGGGTGGGAGGGATGACAGGGACAGTGGGGAGACCGGGCTGGCAGGGCCTTCCACCTGGTGGCATGGGGCTGGGCAGTGTGGGGCGGGGTGGTGGGAGAGGGGCCACTCCGTCTCCTGCTTCTCCTGCTCCCTCCACAGCTGCCTCCAAGCATCTTGGGGTGTCTTCTAACTTTATTTTTGGTGGAAAATGCTAAGTGAGGGGAGGATGTGGCGCCTCCCGTGTGCCTGTCCCCCACCCCGTGGCTATCACCGTATTCACACTTACTCTTCCTCACTTCCTGCCCCACCTGGGGCCAGTCGGAGGCACATCCCAGGCCTCTCAGTTCATCCCCAATCCGACCGCAGCAAAGAGCCCGCAGCCTGCCGTGGCCCCTGTCTCAGCTGACAGCAATTCCTCCCCCTGGCTGCTCAGGCTAAAGTGGGGGTGCCCATCTCGGCTCCCCCAGCGCTGCCTGCGGCCCTCAGTCCTCTTGCCTCTCCTTCAGAGCATGTCGTGGACTTGTCCCTTCTCCTGCCGTCTTGCTGAGACCCTGTGCCCGCCCTGGCCCCTCATCAACCTCTTCCAGGCCCACCCGCCATGGCTCCTGCAGCCCGCAGCCCCATCTGCAGGCTGCACGGCCTCCCACTCCCCGGGATCTGGCCCCCATCATGCTCCATCCCTCAACTCTGTCCTTGCCCCTCACTGGCTTCCTGCTGTCCCCCCTACCTGGACACGATGCCCCAGTATTCTTGGTCCTCCCCCATAGCCACCCGCAGCCAGTAAGGCCCCATCTGTGCCTCGCCTGCCCCCTTCCCTATCACCTCCATCTGGGAGCAGTTCTGTGCATGCACAGCCCCCCCCAGAATGGTGCACCGTGCGTTGGAGGTGGTGCAGTCTTGGGTGAGAACAGGGCCAGGCACAGGGTGCTCAGTCCATGTCGCTGGTGCGCGCCTGACTGCGTGGAGCTTTTGTGCCCCCAGGGGAACCGTCTGCAGCAGAGCAGGCTCGCGGCCACCTGTCCCTCGCCGAGGTCGGTACTGAGGAGTTCCTTGAGAAGCTCACCTCCCAGATCACGGAGATGGTGTCAGCCAAAATCACCCGGGGTAGGCAGGCCGATAGCTGTGCTGGTGCCCAGCGTCCATGTCCCGAAGGTCCTGACAGTGGGGTGGCTGTGATGGCGAGCCTGGGGGCTCCCCCCAGCTCCTGCCCTGGGGACCTGAACGTGTGGTGGGGGCCGTGGGCACGGGAGGCTGTCTGGCAGGGTCCCAGGCCCTTCCCTGGGTGTGACGTGTCCTTGTGCCCCTCCAGCCCGCCTGCAGGTGCCCGGAGGTGACAGTGACGAGGAGTCCAAGACTCCCTCCCCGTCACCCCGGCACGGCCGCTCACGGCCCTCCTCCAGTGTCCAGGAGTCCTCCTCGGAGTCGGAGGATGGTGACCCCCGTGGTGAGGTACGCGGCCCCCAGCCCCACGGGGTCGGGGCCCGGCTGTGGTGGCCCTTGGGGACCGAGGCGGGGAGAGAGCGGGCCCTGCTGAAGAGAAGGTGCAGAACCGTGAGGGGCGGGAGGAGGCGGGGCCCGAAAGGCCTGGAGGAGCAGCTGTGCGTCTTGGCTGGGTCCTGATGTTTTGAAGAAAGTGACTTTGGGCGGATTAGCTGAAACCGCCTCGGTGTTAGAGGTGGGTCAAGTAGACGCCACACAAGAGGATGTAATCCTTCTCCTGTGAAATGCCGCGAGGTTAGTAAATCCTCCGAAAAGAAACTGACTTAGCAGGTGCGTGGACCCGTTGTAGACGTCACCTCTGTGAGGGGTGTGCTCTGAGTGCAGTGAGTTCTGACACGTGAGCACACCTGTGCACCCAAGATCACACTCAGATACCCCCCGGGCTCCCT